ATCTTAGCCGCCTCCGAGAGAACCCAAGATTTCCATTTCAATAAATGTTTGGTGGACGAATCAATATGTTCGATTCGTTCAGCTGTGGCACGAATGTGTATCAGAGCAAGGAGCCCAAGAACCCTACGGTGGGTGGCATGTCCACGATTGGCACGCGGAGGCAGGATCTTCTCAGGTGCCAGTAAGTCGATATCTGGCTTCCAATGTATTCTTGAAATTAAGTCGGTGTCATCCGTCCCCGTCTTGCTAGACCCTGCCAGGCCAGCCAGGACTCCGCCTTCGAGCCTGAAGATTGTCCGGCCCTCAGTGGTACCGATGATCTTAGCCTGCTGCCCTTTCTCTTTGTCTTCAAAAGTCCGAGCTTCGAAGGAAACCCGCGACCATGGCCCGTTATCCACGACAAGGCGTTCAATCTTGGCGGGAATAAAGGCGCCCGAAATGGTGTGCATCCTCCCTCTTGATGCAGCTATACCGATTAGCTGAAGGGCTTGGTCGATGACAGCAGGATGGAGAGGGTAGTGGGTGCCTTTATGCATTTCTGGTTGGTATACAGTGGCAGCTGCCGCATTGTCAATTGGATCTGCAGTGATGTCTTGCAGACGCTGGAACTGAGGACCGTATTGCAATCCACATCGCTGGACTGTGCGGTACCACCGTAAGGGTTCCACTACTCGGGGCAAGGGGCTGACCTCTCTATGGTCAGAAGGAATAGGGTAGTCACTGCCTGCACGCACGCAACCCTTGCAGTGCACCGTCCATTTAGCCCCGTCGAATGCGCATACAGAAAAGTTGTACCACCCGGAGATAACGCCGTCAGCCAGCTCAGTTGGCTTGAGGCTTGAAATAACCTCAACTGCAGCATCGCTGGCTAACATTAGAGGAGATTCAAACCGAATGTTCTGTATCGCGTAGCGTTCAAGACTAGACTCCGATTGATTATTGAGGACATTCAACTGCCTAATGGCCTCGCTGGCCATGGCGATATATCCGGCAGCTGGGAAGACGACCTCGCCGTGCAGAATATGATCCGACAGCCATGGAACATCGTCTAGCCTCAGCACATTTCTCCATGATGGTTCCTGGATTGTAGCTTCCATTATCATCGAGCCAAGTAGCTCATGGTGAGGGAGTGATCGTAGCCGCCAATCGCGACTTGGTCTACCCTCGCTCCAGTACATGTCAGTATGCGTCCATGGAAAGCGCGGGATATCGCTGAGAAGTCTAGCGACTCCCACAATTGTGGGAAAGCTGACAAAGGACCCTGTGTTGAATACATGTCCAGCAGTCGCGAGCAGTAGGGATTGTTGGTGGTCATCGTTGCGCGTGAGGGTGGGTATGTACACGGGAGGTGACCGAGGAGCAACTTGAAATATCTGCCGAAGAGGCGCAGATAAAGCGGAATGTGGTCCGACTTCTATGAATAGCTGGCTACCCTCCGACCCTTTCTTGAGAAGCGTTTCTACCGCCTTCGAAAAGCGAACAGGAGATTCAAGGTTCCGGCGCCAGTAGTTTGCCTCTAGCTGAGAAGGGTCAGTAATGATATCGCCGGTGACAGTAGAAACCATCGGCCGCATATGTGGTCCTGGATTCATATGAGGTACGAGAACATTCTCATATGGCTTTCCGATAGTCTCCATCTGCGCTGCAGGATTAAGTCAACATACATTTCAGTGGTTCAGCACTGGGCTTGAGGCATGTTGCCTAGCGTCCAGACTTACGAGAATGGTAGGCAACCTGCACACGCAGCTTCCGACAGAAAGTTCCCGGGAGAGCCGCGGTAATATTGCTGATTACCTGGGGAATATGTTCCTTGGGTCCTGAAATCGTCACATTCCGAGGGCTGTTCTCACACGCGACGACCACCCCGTCGACGAGGAACGGTAGAACTTCGTCATGGCTCAATCCAATAGATGCCATTGCACCGGAGCCCTCCTGTAACTTGGCCAGCCTTCCACGGTAGAACGCAATAACAATAGCTGATTCAATTGTTATCGCACCTGATCCGCAGGCTGCAGCAATCTCACCGCTAGAATGACCAACTACAGTGCTCGGTTGAATACCCCAGTGTGCTAGAATCTGGAGCAATCCGAGCTGGAGGGCAGTGCACAGTGGCTGCGCTAGTTCAACTTCATTGACACGCGACTCAGTGCCCACGCGCGATAGCTCCTCTATATTCAAGTTAGTATTTGTCACTGCATGCGACCTGCAGGCTACTAACCAAGTAATGACCATTTTGGGGGCTCTGCCAAATTCTGAAGCACATCATCCATCTTCTTGATCGCATTATGGAATAGAGGCTCATTTTCCAAAAGCTGCCTACCCATTCCCGCCCATTGCGCCCCTTGTCCAGTGAACACGAACGTTAATGTAGGAGAGGGGAGTGTCTTGGGTGACGATTGAAATTGGGACTGGTCCACTGGCGTGTCCGGGTAGACCACCGCGAATGCCCGATGACTGTGATGCTCCCGTCGTGATGCTAATGTATATGCCAAATCGTGAAGGCTCGTGGGATTAGAGTTTATGTAGCCTGCTATGTCTTCTATGCGACGTTGTAAGGACTGTTTGTTGTGCGCAGAAACCACGACGAGGTGCGGATGGTCTGATCCCGGGTGGGGCATCTTTTGTACTCCAAATGCAGCCGCAGAATCCAGAATAGCATGCGCGTTGGCTCCGGCTATACCAAATGAATTTATACTCACCCGTTCCTGGCGGTCATCCGGCCATGGTTTGGCTTTCACTGGAACCTCAATCCGGGAATTTTCCTTGTGGACAGTGGGATTGGGCTGATGAAAATTGATGTTTGGCGGGATGGTGCGGTGTTGCAGGGCAAGGGTTGCTTTAATGATGCTAGTGAGACCTGAAGCGCCCTCGGAATGACCGCAGTTTGGCTTGACCTGTTTTATCATCAGGCTAGGTTATAGAATTATTTGTTAAAGTCACTTACACTACCCATAAGTACGCCATGGGGCTCGAAAATCTTGGCGACAACTGATGTCTCAACCGAATCTCCCGCCGAGGTACCTGTACCATGGCATTCGAAAAAGGCCGTGTCGCAGATGTTATGTATCTGGGCCTGTTTGTATGCAGTTCGTATGAGCGTCTCTTGCGCTATTCCGCTGGGGTTAGTCATGACTGCCGTCCGCCCGTCAAAATTAACGGCCGTGGACCGTATTACCGCACGGACAGAGTCGCCATCTTTCAGGGCGTCGCTGAGGCGCTTGATATAGACTGCATTGATAGCCTCACCACGGCCATACCCGTCCGCATTGGCATCAAATGTTTGGCATTGACCCGACGGCGATAGAACACCATTTTGGTTCATGACGCTTGTCATCGTCGGGGTTAATATGAGGTTCGTTCCAGCAACGACGGCAGAGGAGCATTGCCCGGTGCGAAGCCCCTGACAAGCCTCGTGCAAACCAACGAGCGAAGCGGAGCAGCCCGTTTGTATAGTCATGCTATGGCCCAGTCAGCATTGTCCAAAACAGTCAATTTCCGCTGATGTTAATTATACCTCGGCCCACGAAAGTCAAATTCATATGAGACTCGGTTTGACAAGGCAAAGCCTCCGGTAGCGAGGGCATGATGGCGATCTGGACAAGGGTCTAGTCCCTTGAGGGACAACTCCAGCCAATCCTCCCCAAACACTCCGACATAGCAGCCTATATCCTTTCCGCGCCAACTGGTTTCGCCGGAGTCTTCGAGGCACTCCCATACTACTTCGAGGAGCAACCGTTGCTGGGGATCCATGAGCCTGGCTTCTTTGGCACCAATGGAGAAAAATCCGGCATCAAAGTACGCAGGATCCTCCTCCAAGAAATATCCGGTCATCGGGGCGGTAGATGGATGAAAGAAGGAATTCGCGTTATACCGACTCTTAGGGACTGGGCCATGGCCAGTTTTGCCCGAGACGAGCATGTGCCAGAATTCATCTGCGGTGTGAACATTTCCGGGTAATCTCATGCCCATGCCCACAATGGCAATCGGTTCATCTGCTGCGCTTTCGCTTTCGCGACAGAAGCTTCTTTCGTGCATGGGCGTGGTCATCTTTGCTAGTAGTCCAGTTCAGACGTTGTCTCATTTTCATGATGGCTTTATCGCGGGAGGAAAACATAGTTTTAACAGTCCTCCTTCACTATGTGTAGCTCAAGAGGTAGACTATCGGTGATGGAGAAGCGGAGTATGCTTGATTACATCTTCATTTCCCTAAAGGGCAATTTGCATTGGTCGTCTGATTGTAAAAGCCTATGTATGTCTCTGATGCTGTGCGATGCCAATGAGTAGTACAGCACAATATGGACCGAGGAAGGCACGTTTCACAACACCCGCGGAAGCAGCCCTTGCGAGGCGATGCGCAATAGGGTCTACATTCTTCCTCCTTGACACATAACTTGAATTTTCCCCTCCCCCTTTTCCTTCTTCCTGCATATCTACTTTCAATCGAAATGCAGAAATGAAGTTCCAAGAGTACTCGCAAACATTGTTTGTCTAGTAGAGTTTTTGACCGCCTCTTTCTGGTCGTTCAGGCACTGTCGATAACAAAAGCAATATCCCTTTCGTACGTGAGCTGTAGTCAGTAAGGAGGCTGAGAGATATCTAATAACGTGGTCTACCATATATACACTAGCAGGCTTTCAGAATAAGCCATTTCTGCTGCATCATTGTGCTACCACATCACTGTTGCATTTGTAATCTTCATATGTGAATAAGTGATCATTGCAGGTCACACCGCACAGTGTCTTTGCAGACACATGAGGGGCCTTCCATCCCAACTTGTATGTTTTGAGTGAAATAAGCTAAGCTCTCAGATTGAACATCAGATCAGTGTACCTCTGCTCAAAGTCGCAGAACAGGTCCAGAATTTTCGGCGTAAATCCATCCCCACAGTGCCTGAGAAGTGCCGCCCGTAACCCTTCCTTCGCGTCATAGATCTTGCTCAAGACCGCCTGGACAATCGAAGATCCGCTAGGGATCTTCTTCACAAAGGTCACCTACATTTATCAGTATATATTATTAAAATAGAAGTCTTCCAGGCAATATACCTTGCTTGCAGTAGCCCCAATAGCCTCCGTCAGGGCGCTGATCATTCCGTAGGTAGCAGTCAAGACTTGACCCTCCTCGTCCCGGCCCTCTGTGACCTCGGTGGAAGCGATTCTTTTCTGTGTGTTCATGGCGCTATCATAGACCTTGTAGGTGCCTCGAGTCAAGTAAAGCAGATTGCTCATACCACCCTGATATTGTTCGATTTGGGAGGTCATATCCTTCATGGTTTCCGTGAGCATGTGCAGCTCCACGACCATGTCTGTTGTTGAAGCATAAGGCTTTCCCGAAGACTGTGGAGCAAATGCTCCTACAAAGGACATAGAACCCGTCATAGCGATGAGAGATTGGAAGAATGACGCACTACCTTCGCTTCGGGAAGAGATGATAGTAGACCAAGGTGGAAGAAAACAGGCTACTGGCTATATCATATGGAAACGAGAAACATGTATTCTTCATCATAAGAAGCATCAAGAAAATTATCCTCCCTTGCATCTGCTGAATGTAGAGTCATGAAACAGGTAACAATTATTTCACGTTTGAGATGCCGTTCACAATATATTTTGAAGTGTTACACCAGACGTCCTGCAGCACAAACCCAGGGGCGCATGCTTTCGTCAGCTTTTGTCGCTTTATCTTTTTTCTACGACTGTTATTGCACGATGTGACTTGAACGGATCTGGCATTCTTGAATACTAATCATTTCGACGATCAACTAATCCATGAAAGGGAGTTCTTCGCAAATAAGCTTTTCAACCTCAAATGGTGGAGATTGATGATGTCACATGTGTAACAGACACCAGCTACTCCCTTGCAATCAAGCCTTCGATCTTTTGATGCGCAATTGAACTCCGTGCTCGTGACACATGGTCAGGGTCTGCCGCAATGGAGGGTTGAGCCCCATGTCTGGCCCTGGCTGGGCGCTCTCAACGGAATCCAGGTGCTGAACTAGTCGGAATACCTGCTGGCTAATGAGAATTATGGCAAATTGCTCTGTTCGAAGCACTCTGGTTAGCAACGTGTTTCATCGGGTATCCTTGCCAAAATGCTGATCTGCGTAGAGAGGACACTCACGGCCAAGACACGCTCTGGGTCCACCATTGAAGGGAACAAAGTCCCAGGCCGGTGGGTTGTATTCTTCCCATCTCTCCGGTTGGAATGTCTCGGCATCTGCGCCCCAGATATCCGGACGCCGGTGAAGGCACCAGACTGAATAGACGACCATCTGCCCCTTGGGAATGAACACTGGCGATCGACCATCCAGACCACCTCCCACAGGAATTGTCGTATCATGATAGGCAACTCGCGCATTCAAAGGAACGGGGGGGAAGAGGCGAAGCGCTATTTCAAAGGCTTAGCAGATGTCGATGAAGTAGAGGTGGATTTGAATGGTTCGGATAGAGAATAGAAGAAATATCTTGTGGCTCACCTTCGTACAAAACACCGCGGAGATAAGGGAGACCCTGTATCTCCTTCAGGGTGATATTGCTCGCGTGCTTTTCCACCGCATCGCTGACTTCCTTTTTCAACTTACGCCATGCGGCAGAGTCTCGTGAAAGAAGATAAAAGACGGAGGTGAGCACGCTGGCAACATCGTCTCGACTGGCTAAGAGAACATTCACCAATTGATCCCTCAGGAAATCCCGATCTTGTGTCTCGGCCGCCAGTGCGTGCAGAAAACAATACTCTTGTTCTTTCTCTTCAAGGCTACTCCTAGGGCTGTTAATCTTGCTTCTATATTTTATGGCCTTATCAACGTAGTACTCCACGAATTTGTGAACAACATGAGTGGACTTTCTGAATTCGCTTGGGTTGATCAGCCAGTAGTAAGAAAGCGCGAGAGTTCGTCTGAAAAGGATGTCTTGGGCGTAATCGAATGCCGCAGCAAATCCTTCATTTCCGCGACCTGACGTTTCCGCAATACCTGTCTGGTTGGAGTCTGGTATAACGAGGGAACTAATAGATTCCCCGAACAGATAGCCCGTGGCAGAATCTAGTGCCAGTCGAAATGCAAGCGGCTGGATATCAAAGACATGCCCATCGGGTGGCAGTGCTTGCATTAGGTTCTTAGAGTGAGAGTCAAACCATTCAATTGACGGCATCTATGACGCCAATCGCGTTAGATAGGCCACATATAATCAGTCTGTAAGTGCTCAACCTACCTGATTTTTCGTAAACTGGGGGCGTAGCAACTTCCTCGAGTGCTCCCAGGCTGACCCGTCAGATGTGAATATCCCTCTCCCAAGCAATGGGCGGTACTGTGGATAACGCCATTTAGACAGTCCGAAGCTGGAGAACTGCGAGGCTAAAACTGCCTGGATATTCTCTGGTTCGCAAGTAGCGACAACATCGTGACCCACAAAATTCAATTTCAGGGTGTTTCCATACTGCAAATGAACCTCATGCATAGTAGATCCGACTTGACCTTCTTGGGTCGCAGCTCTCGCGCGCCAGACCGCTTTGTGACCGAACAGCCCACTTGGATAGGAAGATACTGGCTCACAATTCCATTCCTTCGATAGCCTTTTATACCTATAGCTTCTGCTAATAATCTGATAGAGCTGCAGTGCCACGAAGGCTGAGAGGAATATGGCCAATGACAGGGGTATTGCGGACCATAACATTTTCGAATAAGTAGAAGTTATTCACACAGAGTCCAAGGCGGGATATTGTATCTATTCCGGCTGAACGGCGATCAGCTACCTGTGGGGCTATTTCCAGCCGGCTATATAAAAGTTGGAAAAGTCCTACAATAACTTCTCTGTCCTACGTTCAGAAACGAAAATTGCGATATATGATGTGATATCAACACATCCAACCTTTCTCAATTTCCTCTTTCATGCAGGTGCATATTGGTTACATTCCAGCACCTTGTATCCTTCCTATCCTTGCATCGATGGTGTCGAATACGGAACTTGTTCAGATATCATATTCGTCGGGGTGGGTTACCCAAGATCCACGAGTCATTGTTAACATTGGTCTGTCTGTCGTTTGAATACATTAGTAAGAACTACTTACTCTCGGATCTATTTATCTTCAATTCTCAGCTGACTATGTAATACAATGCTTCCCACCGCTCTATCTATAGATAGACAGTAAACATGTTCAGGATAGTGGTAGTGATCCATCAAGCCCATATGGCCACAGAGAACGGCTTTCTAAGATTCTGGTCCCAATAAATACAATTTTGGTATGCATCAGAAGGCCGTCTTTCCAGAAAAGAATGATTTATATTTGCCTCATGTCCCACTCAGCTTTTAATGGACAAAAGGCACGAGCATATGTGAGAAAGGTGCTTTGGTTTGTCTAAGCCTTCGGGTGTAAAACGCCATGGACGGAAAGAGATCATTTGTCGCGAATAAGAAGACATTACGTTCCCATATGCAACGTGGCTCAGACTACTCAGTTTAGACCTAGAGGTACTGAGAGCAAATTAACACATTGGCGATCCCAAAACAAGAGGCCATGTATACCCTACCTGGTGGCACAGCAGCCCATCCATATGCGTATGCAGTCTTCCCTTTTACCTCAAGCAGGCTGCGGTGGCGGTTGCTAAGAATCTTGTGGGTAGGGTCTATTGAGCTTTCATTCCCCGCGGTAGTTAGCAGGATAATTTCCGTCATATGTGACAATGTCTCGAAGCAAGATAGTGACTTAGGGTTAGAATGTAGCCAATGGTAACTATATGCCAACGTATCTACTCAATTGGTAATGTTATCAACCCTTGCATATCTATCCCTTTTGTATGTTCTTGTGACGGTATTGAGACATGGCAAGTCGAAAGATGCACGCTGACTTCATGAAGAAGGATATCCCGGTTTGTAGCCGTAGTACAGCATATGCACAATCCCTATTGGTCTGTTGGAGTTGTCAGATATGGAATAAGGGGGAGTCTAAGCAATGCTTCTCAACACCCCCTCTATGAATATGCCGATCTAAAACAGGTCAGTCAGTTGTACTTGAACAACAAAATTTTGTGTTACCCAGGGTGTTGCAGTGTGGCACATTAAACTTTGCCTTTAAAACAACCCCAGCCAGCCAGGTAGACCTCCTATCCGGAAATCTCTACACACCCCTGATAATCCCAAAGGCGCAATAGTTGGTTTCTAACTGCCTAGGACCCGTTGCTAAGTACCAGCATCCAGTGCACACATAGCATGTACCCCATTTCCTCCACTGGTTCGCCAAACTCCAAGGGTTACTAGATTTGCTTTCTGCCCAATACAAAATCGGCCAACAACTAGACCCTCAATATGGAAAGACATATTGAATGGTTTCGCGACCAAGTCATTTTCCTGACTGGAGGTACAGGAAATCTAGGCGTATGTCTTCTCTACAAGCTAACACTGCAGTTACCCACGAAAAAGATTTTCTTGCTTTGTCGTGGCTCCGTGCAGCGTGCACTCGACAAGCTAGAGGCAGCAATGGCGGAACAATTTGACGATGTCCTAGACTCTCATCGCGTCCAGTTCATGGTGGGAGATACCTCCAAACCCGGTCTCGGGTTAAAGCCATCGGATCTGCGACAACTCCAACAGGAGGTTACCGTGGTAATCAATGCAGCGGCAGACATTTCGCTGCAACAGCCACTTCATCTTAGCATCCAGCCGAATTGCATAGCCCATCTACAGCTACTCACACTGCTTCGGGAATTCAATCGTCTTACATCGTTCCTCCACGTATCATCCACATCAGTGAACAGCTTTCTCCCCGACGGTATTATTGAAGAACGAATATATCCACTTTGTGATGAGGATCCAGACCCAGAGAAAGTTTTGTCACAAATTCTCAGTACAGGACAATCAGCCTACACGGATAATTTTATCGCACCTTACGCATTATGCAAGCATCTGGCGGAGAGGCTGATTTTGAAGCAAGCGGATCTGCCCTTTAACATACTCATCGTGCGACCGTCTCTTATCGGGCCCGCCATTCGCGACCCGTATCCCTTTTACGGGAATGATGAAGGCATGCCCTTACAATCTGCAATCTACAATCTGGCAACGGACCCGGATTACGGGTTAGATGAGCTTGGCAAGGGAATCAATCTAGACGCCGTGTTTGACGAGATTCCTGTCGACTTGGTCGCCAGTACTTGTCTTGCTCATCTAGCTGCTGGTTCGGTAGGAATTGTTCAGGCTGCGGGTAGTCTTTATGTGGCAGCGACTACTGGTGAGATTACCACCACGATGATCCAGGGCGCGGCACCGACAGGAATCGAGAAGGTCCGTCGCGGAGAGATACGCCAGAGCCAGAATTTGGCACCAATGTTTTTTCAAGTGGCGCGGAAATATATGCGCAACTGGGATATTCGGTGTGATCGATCGGAGCATCTGAAGGAGCATACCGGTGTCTTGGGGCTTAGCCTTGATGGGCATGATTCAAACGCGTTCATGAAGCATCGCTGGCAGAATGTGTGTAATTCGGTGTTTGGTTCGTCTTCGGCTTAGTCCTCGAGCGGCCGGCAACACCCTTTTCCCTTTTCACCAGATGCATGATAGTCGGATTTTAGCAGCGATTTGCCGGGGTATTGTTGTCTCTGTAATCTGTCTGCTCCCCAGTCCGCAACAAAAGAAGCTCAGTGACTTCACCAATAGCTCGGTCTAAGGTTCATATGTTAACTAAACCTGTCCACTTGTATTCAGCATAATGTTGGTAAAATAGAGGTACCGGGGACCCGATCGCTGCCCGTGCTACCTAGCCCAAACATGAATTAGAAGGTTATGTTCGGTGCGAGAAGAGGACAAAAAGCCATTGATCTTGACTGATTAAACCAGAGAATGCATCCAAGTAGATACACTCGCTCCAGTGATGTATATACCATCGACCGGCTTAGGCTTTATTTCTGCTTCGGGAGACACGCCATCGGTTCGCGCTTCTGGGCTTTTTATTCCGTCTTCAGAGTCACATCACTTCACTATCAGACCTATGGACTCGTCACGTCACACAGGCGATATTGGTGCAAGTAATGTAGTGTCTCGAGCGCCTAAGAGGTAGACGTTTAAAACTCAGTGGACGGATCCATAAACTGCGCTGCGACGTTGTGCCGGAAAAAGCCCAGAAGCTGTATCGAAACATACTGACGCTTTGTTGAGGTTGCCGATCACTCTTCATAGGGATACTAGTGAGGATCATGGAGAGCTCCGAGGTATTATTTCCTATCCTCATTTTCAGCGGAACTTCCAGACTCTGCGGTAAGTGCGCCGTTCTGCTCACCTCACAAATACCTCATTATGTTGGCAGTCCAAGCAACACCCCCACGATTCACGACAATGCTTTCTTGTGTCTTCCAACACCTCGAGCGCAAGCACGAGCGCCGAGGCAACTTCCATAAAGCTCAACTATACCGCTTCCGACAGTTCTCAAATCCTCCTGTTTCAGAACTGCGGAACAGCCCGGTATGGAACCCGGTTGGAAAATACCTGCAAGCCTGTTTTAACTTACGCTTCTGCGTACAGCGCGAGGTCTATCTACAGGCCAGACATGATGAGCTGTATGAGAAGCTGAATATAGACCCATCTGCAGAAGATATGTCTCACTCTGTTACTGAGATGCAAGCCCTTAAAAAGGCCCTCCAGTCAATGCCAAAGGCCATCTGAAATCTGGAACGAGAAGCCCAGTGTCTCTTGATTATGATTTATAATAAGTCCCTGAAACAAATACTGTGTGCTCACCATGAATAAGAATATTAGTATCTTTCAAAATAGCTGCACGCAGAATATACGCGGTCAGGAGGGTGTTGTGGACAGGCATGTAGATACTATGAGAAACAGAGAAATGAGATGCATCTACAGTACAAAGGCCACTGCACTTCGATGTGTTTATGCTGTGAAAAGGCGAGAGGGTGCAGCATTATGATCGATAACTTTAAGAATGATGTGATGATCATCGATGTCTTTCAACCCGACTTCGACGATGCCAGGTTATCCTACGCATATAGCTGGATAAATGCCTATGTTGTTGGGTTGGATCCTGAGATATGAAGCATTATTGAGATAGCTTGACTGGATTTTTCTGCGATTGCTGGATACTCCTTCAGGCTTTTTATCGCTGTCATCGAGGCAAAGTTTTGGGGATACATGTGTTCCTTTGTAGCGCCAGAACTCACCGGGGACCACCAAGGCTTAAGTCAAAAGTCCAGTGAATATCACCGGGGCATTCTTATCTCTCATCTCTGTGTGAGTTGGCCGGGCGTATGTAGCGAGGTGGGACGGTCCACTTGAGTCTTCGTAGTATATTAAATGGAAATTCCTCTGCTGTAAGGGAACATTTAACCTCAGCTCCTACATCAACCCTTCTTCTTCTCTCAACCTTAACACTTGATTGACTGCCGGTCTAAGATGACAGCAGCGTTCCTTCCTCAATTTCGGGCCTGCGAGTTTTCACGGTAAAAGCAACAACGGAACGCGACTTCGATTCTCGTACGTAGCTGACAACTTCCTTATTCTACATCGCGTCAGCAAGTTCCTATTCTACATCGTCACGGTGTTATCCTCATACCAACTAACATCATCTCCAATGATCTCCCTGACTTCCAGACATCACCTTTTACGTGGATCAATCTTTTGTACACTTCCCCCAACCTGGACAAGTCCCTGTCGTGTGGACGCTCAAGTCGACGGGAATGAGCAGTTCACGCGTGCCTCAGAGGAGAGATATCGGTGAGCAATATCCTTGGATTGCGAGAAGATACCGGCTATTAACACTTTTCGCTGAGGGCAGATTGTCTCGTTAAAACATGCCTTTCTGCCTTACCGGGAACGCGTATATATACGCTTACCTTAGGCTAGCAAATAGCTTCCGTCCACGCGTTACGCTTCTTTCTCTACCTTATCGAACAAAATGAACATCCACGCTTCCGCATAGCGGACTTCGTGAGCTCATCCTGGCCGCATCCTTCCACCCCCAGAATACCACAAGTGGCCAAATTTTGGTGATGGGAGCTGGTTTTGGCTATGGTGCGGGTTTGTTCATTTGGCACTCGCCATATCGTCGTGCTTTGGGCATCTTTCCCTATAAGAGCTTTTCTCCGCAAATACACTCTAATCATGATGACTCCCCCCCTCATTGGGCGTGGGCTTTGGTGGTGCCAGTGGCCTGTGCCTTCTGGCACTTTCTATGTCGTCATGCTCCGGGCACAAAGAAAGTGCGCATCAGGCTTCTCAGTCTGCTACATTATCATTATGAGAGACTGACACTGTTTGCTCCAACTCATAGATTCTCTACATCCTGTTTGTCCTCCCTTCGTCCGGCGCCGTCCCCGCCCAAAATACCACAAATGGCCAACTTTTGGTCATGGGAGCTGGTTTTGGCTCTACTGGGGACCTATTCATTTTGGCCGCAATTTTATATTGCTGTATACGCTGTGTACAGAAGAGGTATGTATCAGGCTTCTCATTCTGCTACATAATTATTATGAGAATGAGACTGACACTGTTTATTCTAATTCATAGAGTTTCTACGTCCTGTGTCGGGGCCTATGTGCCTCAAAATATTGATGAATTCGAGCAAGCCCTAGAGCTTGTCAGGCGGGGTATGATACTTAGTACCAGCTTTTGTCATGAGTATATACTAAGTATAGGGGTTTTCCAGGCCGTCGGGCACCCCCCCCCCCCACCCAGGCCCAGAAACATTTAAGGATTGGCTTAACGCCAAGTTCCGCCTCTGGGTAATGACTAAATTCAGGCTCATAGGAACTATGGCTGATACCCTTTTTAGGGCCGAGATCCGTCGGCTGCCGCCGCTGATGGTGGTGATGGTGGTGGTGATGCGGGTGCTGCTGGTGCTGCTGGGACTGGGGGTGCGAGTGCTGCTGCTGCTGCGCCCTGATCAAGGGCAAAGCTTCTTCTCTCTCTCTCATTTTTCTCTTAAAAAAGCTCTTCTTGTAAGAGATACCCACAGGGCTTCGTTCGAGTTTTTATTTTGTAATTATTGTATTTTTTTTAGCTTCAGTATGGTAAGGGATTTCTTGTATTACCCATAGCGCTGGCCAGTGGACCCAAAAACGAGAGATCAATTCTATATGGGGATGAACAGAGGAATGTGTCCGGACAGAGCAACGGGTTCTTCAATGTATACTAATTCAGTCCAGATCAGATACATATCCCTATACTGTAAGAAAGAGGAACACAATCACATAATGCAATACGGCAAGTCGCGCCACATCTGTACCCAGAAACCCATCTAGCAGCCATATACAAGATCCAAGTCCCATCCAGTCATGCCTTTCCCGGGACAGCAGGGAGTTAAGACTCGTAGCAAATCGCAGTCAGTATTAGGCGTAGCTTTAGGCCTTCCAATAATATTTCATTTCACTACAGAAAGACTAGTATTCAACATACCATACGGGCATAATATAATGCATGGTTTTATGCCGAGGTAACACTCTTAAAGGTAATTTCGTTCACTCTAATACCACATATTTATGTTACTTGAGGTTGAGGAGAGAGATAAGAAGAATAGGATGTTTCAATACAATAGCCGAATGGAGAATGCGAGGTGATAGACAGGCTATGCTATGACAGGCGCGAATCCTACGTAGCTGCAGCGGGCTGGGCGAAGTGAATCCACTAGGCAAGAAGGGAACAGGAATGTGGCAGGCTGAGTTCTCTCTATGCAATCACACGGGTCCCCAGTCGATACCCAGGAACTTACATACTTGACACGCCCGGTGTCCATGCTCTACGCACCTGCTTTCTGTAGAGCAAGTATAGAAATATTGCTGCCTCAGGCAAAGGCAACTAAAAATTGTACTTCACTCAACATAGAATCAAGTCGTGGTATTGCTAATGAACACAGTCTAATCCGGTATCTTCATCATCAATCTAACCATACAATGCAAACATGACTATGTGCATCTAATAAGAAGTAAAACATATACAAACACCTATGCAGACATCATCATATCTACAGCATAAACGCAGCCACACCCATCGCGACCGCCAACACCGAGTAATCCAACATGCTCTTCATCGCGCCGCTGGTAGCAATCAGGACACTTGGCTCATAAGCCCCAGGGGTAGTGCTATTCGTGGTTCCATTCCAGCAGTAATCGTTGAAGCACGTGGTACAGATATCCGGCAGGGAGGTGTTCGTCCGGTAGGTGGATCTCTGCAAGATAGCGCACGCCACGCAAGAGGGGAAGTTATCGTCGACGGTACCGTTACCGCGGGTGACCACGTTCCAGCCGTTGGTGATGACGGAGTCACGTTCCTCGTCGCTGTAGGTGAGCTTGAAGGTGGAGAAGTTGGAGTCGTAGGTGTAGGGGCTGTTCGGCAGGTAGATGACCAGGGGCGCAGTGCCGGAGATGTTCTTGGGGTCGCAGCCGAAGAAGGTCGGGCGGGAGTTCAGACCCAGGTTGACGAAGGTGTTCTGGTCCGGCACGGCGGGGAAGGAGGTGCCGTTGGCGATGGTGGGTTCCAGACTGCGCTCGTAGGTGGCCACCAGGGAGGTGCCGTTGGGCCAGTAGTAGTCTGTGTCGGCGGAGGAGTCAATGGCGAAGATGACGTCCACAGCACGCTCGGGCTGGATCAGCGGGTGCAGAGGGATGTTCTCGCCGTCTTCACCGCCGTCGACCACGTCGAGGTCCTTAGCTGTGGCGTAGTCTTCGCTGCTGTCGCGGTAGCCCGAGAAGGGATTCGGGGAGTACACGGCGATGTCGTCGTTGCGCTCACCGAGGTCCTCGAGGATGTCGGTGAAGGCGTCCTTCAGGATGGTGGGGATGCTGGTGCTGTTGATCTGGAGGAGGAATTGGTTGAACAGGGTGGAGGATGAGCCCATGATGAACCCGGCGTTGTCGAAGCCGCGCACGCAGGTGCCGTTGTCGGGGATAGCGCCGTTCTCGAAGCGAGAGCCCAGGTACTGCAGAGGGGCGAAGGCGTAGACGCTGGGGTCGAAGGAGCCGAATTCCCAGGGGTTCACTTCGTAGACGGTGGCGTTGGTCTCGATGATGACTTCGCCGGGGTTGCGGCCGTCGGCGACGACAATGGGCATGGGGTACTGGCCGTTCTTGAAGTCATCCATGAGCGCAATGGAGGACCAGGTGTAGTCGGGACCGCCCTTGTCGTCGGAAGCGTTCACCAGCTGGTAGGACAGCGCACGGCCCCAGTAGTCGGTGAAGGAGGTGTTGAAACCGGCGTCGGCCTTGCCGTCGACTTCCTCGGTGATGTCCTTCCAGTATTCCACCGTGCTGACGATCTGGATGTGGTCGAAGTTGGGTCCCTCGAGCAGGGACTTGTCGAAGCGCCAGACCTTCTCGCTGGCCTGCAGTTCGCCGATGGAGGAGAAGTTGTTGACGAACATGGATCCGACCAGCCAGCTACCTCCACTCAGACCGGAGACATAGGTTGCCGCCTGCAGCAGACCACCCAGCTGACCGGAGTTGGTGGCATTGTCAGAGCGGCTGTCGAACGCCTTCAGCGCACCGGCACCGTTGGTGAGAGCACGGTATCCACCACCCGAGGCCGCAATTGCAATGTTGGGGATGTTGGAGATGTTGCTGGAGTGCTGGTTGATGTAGGAGGTGGTGTCGAAGCCGGTGAGGTTCAGACGGCTCAGGAGGTCCTTCATCGGGGTGAGAGTCGCATTGCGACGGACCTTGAGCCACTCGGTCTCGTTGGTAGAAATGCCGGAGGCATCGCGAATGCTCGGACGAGTCGAGGGACAGGTGACATTGGAGGGAGTATATCCGTCGGGGGCATTGGGGAGGGCGCGGACAATTAAATCGGCAGCGACGGAAGCAACCTCAGCCTCGGCCCTTTCGACAGGCAGGGAAGCAGCATTAGCGAGGCCAGCAGCCGCTGCAGCGAAGAGAGGCAGCTTCATGATCGACAGGGACGACGATCTCGGAGGGAAAGACTGGGAGGAGAAAGTGGAGGAGGGACGGCACGAGAAGGGAACAAAAGTTGCGAAGAGATTCAGCGCACAGAATGGCTTATAATAATATGATCCTGAGTGAACAGCCACATCTTGCGGATCGTCCGGAAGGCTTTGGGCAGCCTTGGCGAATCCACCATGTGAACCAGAGTTTCTGTGAATACAGCGAACTCTGTACAGTCAGCGGCTCTAACCCGGAGTTCGGCAGGAATGTTAGGGCCAATCCCTCGGTCTGGGGAACCCTTGATAGGCCCGAGGGAAAGGAAACAGCCCCATCCAGGAGGTTTGCTGTCCCTGGAACCACTTCATCCTAGGCAGCAAGATTGCCCCTGCGCCACTGGATCCTGCCAAAGGAGTCGGGGTCCGTGGGGGCCGACCAGGCTGAATCGAATTTTTGGGCAGTGAAATCTTGGTTTGCTTTGATCGCAGGGGGATGAGAATTTCTCCCAGAAATGGGGTGATATGGCACCGACTAGTACTGTTTATCTGCAGGTGGCAGGCTGAGTGATACAAACCCGCATGGTTTGCAATGCCGCCATGATTTCCGAGGAGACAGACCATTCGACAGGGGAACCAAGCTGTCAGACAGAAAAAAGAAAGCAAACAAACAAGCAGCACAAAAATTGGCAATGCAGGGGATACGAATACGAGATGGGGCTGGCTGTACGCACGTGATCTGACATCAGATATAAACATGGATCACATAAGCAGGGGAATGCTGACATCACCACGATATCATTCACGTGAGAGTCAATCATCTGACCTCATTCTGCAGAGTTATGCACATCCATGACATACCTGATGATTAACCACTTCACAAGATCTACATATGCCGCAGATGGAATCTGAAGTAAAGAACACAATGATGCAAGTAAAAGACGGACCTCCCGTCCATGACATCACCAACTCCTTCCCCCAGAGTCAATCACTAAGCACTCATCGAAATATAAAACAAATGTAACATCCATCCCTTGCAGCAACATTCCTGAATTCCTTACGATCAGACGTTCATCACATTTCTCTCATTTTACACACGAAACAATTGAACCTTAATAACCACATAATCACCATGGACAAACTCTCCGGTCTCGCCTCGAAGCTCAGCGGTGGCAACAAGTCCGGCGGTGACGCGCAGGCCTCGGGGTCCAGCGGAAACCAGGGTCAGGAGGATTACCTTGATAAGGGTGAGTATTTTTCCGCGCGCGCCTACAACTATATGTTGTTGGTTTGGGCTATCGCGGCTGGAATGCAATGCTGATATCATCTCTCTTGTAGGTCTCGACTCGGTCGAACAGAAGTTCGGTGGTGGCAAGATCGATCCTCAGAAGATGCGCTCCACAAATGAGAAAATCACGGATACGGCCAGGAATCAGTTTGAGAGTGCTACCGGGTAAGTTTAAAGTCTCATGACTTGTAAAATTTGCGATGGTTGTAAGCTAACATGCGGAAATATAGAAAGAAAGTCCCCGAGAAGTTCTCCAATTAGTTTCACTACATGAGAAAGTGAAGTATTAGATAATAGTTTAAGGATAATGAAATTTAATGAACCTCGGAATTGCAAACGTGAAACATTAGAGACTATACATATAAGTATTTATTGGTTCGTTGAAGTAGGTTAGGCACCTCATATCGAGGAACTCATCAGGTGGGACGGTTATTGATGAGATGGATATATTGGTCTTTTCAAGAATAGATGTCGACGGATTAAACATGAGCGAAGCTTCCCTCTTATTCTCATCCACAATGATGATGAAGCCTTTTCCAAGCTGAAGACCAGTTGTTTTCGCATTATTATCATCTTGCAGTGACAGCTGCCCCGATGTGGCTGGCCAGCAGCACAGGTCGAAGTTCAAAGTTGGCCAACTCTTGCCTCTATTCTGTGGATGGAGACTCATACATGATTAGTAAATGTAGTATGCAGTCGAAGTCTTGATCAGATACCAAGGGTGCATGGATTGCCTACCTGCGGCTAGTAATCTGTTGATGTCTGTACCGGTAGTAGTATATATACAGTGGTGAGATACTGAGGGGGCAGTGGGTGCCAGGAAGCTTTCGCTCCAAGAGACAAACGCAGGGAGTCCATTGAAGTCTTTTCTTCATGGCAAATCGAGATCGAAATGGGATGTAAAATCGTACATCACCATACAAATTTCTTCTCGGCCCGATAAAAAAGGGTTCAACCAGCATTGGAAGGCCGCCATTCCAGGCCTACTGTTCAAAGACCAAGACTCCCAGTTCAGCAGTACCTCCATTCGCACAAAAGCGTTATGTAAAATGTTTCTTCACAATTTGATTCAACCTATTTACATCCCGCCCTGGATCTTTAATTGTTGACGCCCCTTGTCTTCCTTTCTCTTCCCATCCTTCTGGAAATTCGAGGGTCGCAGACTATGTCCATCACCTGTTTCAACTCCTGGGCTGCCTGTGGGTTAGAATGTTGCTGTTCACGGATCTGCTGATTCTTACTAGGCTGCGACTCATTTGGAAGATGCCACTATGCAATGTCATAGCTGGGCTTGAGATTGCCTTTGTCTGTATAACGGTTCCAATACTTACCGATTCGGGGAGTCGGCAATTGAGTAACGTGGTTATTCTTCCGCGTATGATACTCTCGGATGTCTCTTAAACCAATGAAGACTTCAAAGACTTCAAAATCTACTAAATTAGTTGACCATGTGCTTACTGATCTAAAGGCTCGCATGCAAGGACCCATCCAAACGGCCACCCAAACGGCCACCCAAACGGCCACCCAAACGGCCACCCAAACGGCCACCCAAACGCCCTCACGTACGCCTGGAACACAAGGAAAAGTCGTGGAGGAACACCAATAGTTGAACTCATTGAGATCCTTGATCCCCGTGCTTAGTTCTATGGGGAATCCTATTCAAAATAAACCTCAAAGTATTCCTACTTATGATCTTGATTACTTTGCATTTCCGCGGTTTAATTAAGCGCTTTGAATATCTTGAACATCGAACATCTTGAAATCCTGAGATAGGACCCTTTTACATATACATAATGGCTTCAGATCTGCCTGTCTGGGGGGCGGTGTTGAAACATTCACTGCAGCCAGGCAGCTGTCAGCTGATCCTTCGCCTCTTCCTTCTGCGTGGCCTCTGACCACCACCTCTTCCAGCCACCCAACCCAACCAGCAACCATCTTCTTGAGATCTAGATAGATCAAATCCATATATCTTTGCCCCCTTCGTCTTGACACTTACTATTATCAATTATGGAAATGGGGTTTAATTGCCCAAGTGGCCTGCAGTGTCAACAATAGTACAGACAGGCTGGGGATCTATATCTTGGTCGCTGAATGTCTTGTACAGCAGGTGGTTTCCTGGTGCTATACGGATACTTGATAATTCGTACACGACACCCACTCATATGAAGAAGGCAAATGTATAAAAGCATATTGGCGCTTGTGGTCGTCGACAAATGCGTGGCGTGGTTATTTTTTCCACACATGAAACTCTAGGATGTCTTTTCGATGGGCTGCCTATGTGATGGGCTGCCTATGTTAATCGCCAATATTACGCTAAGCATCTGACATTTAACAGCATTTTGAAAACGTTTCAAATGGAGGCGAGCCTTACGCGAGCGGAGGGAGGGGCTCGGGTCTGCACAATGATTCGGAACACTTACCGCGTCTAAGATAATAGGAATAGGCTTTTTGGGATCCTCTTGCGTGTGGTTCCATATATAAATACGCACTTTTACAATAACATTACCAGCGCGAAAGGTGCAAATGGAAAGGCGTGCAATGAAACTGCCGAGGCAGGCAGCCCATACAAATTCTGGCGTTCCAAGTCGGTCAGAATTCCGACAATACTAAAGACACCTATATGGAAGTAGCATGGACAGCTTGCGTTGCCCCTTCCCAAAATGAAGCGTGGGGCACGCAGGATGTGGCTCGATCTTCGAATACATCGTGGTAGCCATATCCCCCAAAGACAATCTTAATGAAAGCGAAGACCTGCCTCCTACCGTCCTCAAATCATCGAATAAATGTTGTTTCTCCAAACCCCGCAAGGGGCTGTTGCCGTCGTTGGGTTCACCGTGCTGGCGATTTTGTTCGGGGTGCTCTTGGATTCTTTTTGTACTTGGCTCTCCTGTCGTTCTCATTGGGGGTATGTTTAACATCCTTCTATCCTGTGGCTCTGCTGTCTATATAATCCTGGGGTGAGGCTGAGAAGATGCGTCAAATCTTAGGTTGCGTTCCCTAATGTGGGGAAATTCACCCCCCAGACCATCGAGGAGTTCGAGCAAGCGTTGCAGATGGTCAGAAAACCTCGTTAGAAACCCCTGCGGCTCTGCTGTCTATACAATCCTGGGGTGAGGCTGAGAAGATGCGTTAAATCTTAGGTTGCGTTCCCCCAATGTGGGGAAATTCACCCCACGGACAATCGAGGAGTTCGAGGAGGCATTGCGGATGGTTGAATAACCTCGTTAGAAACCCAAATACATGAGGAATTCGCCATACTAATACTATGTGTCTCAGGGAAATAAGGGGTGCGCAGCCGTGAGGGCTTCATGGGTTTTATATGTTCATCCGTATAGTCGAACAATCTCGTTAGACACCCCATTACCAAGATACCGGAGGAGTGTGCCGTGCTAATACTACTGACTGCCTCAGGAAAATAATGGGCCCCTCAGCTACGGAGCTATTGCACGAGATAGCGCCACACTGAATATAAGGTCGAAGGAAAGAGGAACATCAATCCATTCATACCATAAAGGACTGAAGACGATTGTGATGTCGACGATATGCTTGTTTGTATTTCGGCAAGGGAGGATGGTGCCTCCCTCGGAAACTTTTGTGAAGTACATGAACTAAAGCAACTGATCTTCCTCTGAGAGCCTCTCTCGGGACATACAATGAAGCATGCCACAATCAGCGATACAAGATACCTAGATGACCTCGTAAACGAGTTGAAGTAATAGTAAAGTTGGGCTCTAACATACTTTCCAAGTCTCTGGACTGTATGACTTGTAGCAAGAAAACTGCCAAGTTTCACAAAGATCCTATCAAATCCAGTATACGAGTAGCGGTGGCAACTAATACCCAAGAGTAGATAATACTAAATGTGCGAGCTTCAGACAGTGGAGAGGAGGACTCTTCCATCCTAGGTAGGACTACCCCCGTCTAGTGTTATGTGATGATTCAGAACGTGTCACACCTACCTCCCAAGGTATACCAGGCCATGACGACCTCGACGCTGTCTCATACACCACTTGCAGTTCCATTGTATGTTCAAGGTACTCAAAACTAGGGGGTGTTCTATACGGTAGCATTAGCAGTGCGACTGTGAAGCACATCATCCAGGCTGCCTATACACCCTCCGCCTTCCCGCACAATACTATAGCTTCATGCAATGGGACCGAGCTCCCAACCTTTCGAGTCCACGGAGGGACAGGGCCATGGAAGGATTTCATTGCATGTAGTATGCGCGTACATTGTCAGGTAAACATTTTGTGAGGAAAATGAGGAGAGGAGAAGCCACGTAGGCAGTAAAAATGACGGAGCCTCTGGTGAGAGCTTCGCTACAGCGAACGTCAACCCATGACATACCCGGGTTGATGATCGTATGAAGGATAATGAATGGTACTAAGGAATATATTATGCAGATATAGTGCTAGCCGTAATAAAATAATCACATTCGCTGAAACGATGACAATAAACTCTGTATCCCCCCCGAAGTCCTCTGCGGCATTATATATCTGGTATGCATCCGACACAACTGCAACATAGTCTGCACCTCCTGGGGCACGGCCGCTCCGTTCTCACGACATCCCTCCACGACCCGCTCATAGTAAGCCTGCGCCTCAACATGTTTCTGCGCCTCCATGTGCAATTTTCCCAACATAGCCAGCGTACTCTGCACTTCGGGACAGCCCTTCCCCATTCGATTCTCTGCCCATGTCAAGTATCTGCTCAACCACGGCGTGGCCAACTGCGTATTCGACTGGCCGGGCGTGCCATACAACCCAGCCACGCTGCGTCCCTGCGACGCGTACATCACACCCATCAGTGCCACGATGCTCATTGTCTCCGGATGATCTGCGCCCAGCTCCTCCTCAGCATTTGCTAGCCCACGTCGGAACGTCTCCGACGCCGCCGTAATCCCGTCCGGATCGAGCATCTGACTCCCACCCTGTAGCCTCAATGCCCGAATAGCGAGTGGATGGCGCGGACCGAGCAGGTCAGTCAGCTCGCGTGCAATATGCGTAGCCCCTTGCGCCAGCTGATCTACCTCCCCGCTGAACCGCATGACCATCAACGCTCTCGTATCATGCGACCGCATTGAGAGCATATGGTCGGCCGTATCAAGAATAGAAGCATACACGCGTATATGGTTAGGTCCAAGTAACTCCCGCAGCCGTTCAGTAACCCTCTCCGAAATCTGGACAGCTTCCTGTCGTCGCTCAACAGCGCCATACGCGATCGCCAATCTCCGTCGCGTGTCGAGAGTGTCCAGATCATCTTCTCCGATGGTCATTTGCTGACGGGCCAGGACATTCGCGCATACCGACTCGCCTTCCTGGCCTTTT